CTATTTTTTATTATTTCCTTAATAAAATAAAAACTAAAAGTACACTGTGTATCAATTCTTAGCACAAATTCATAAGGAAGTACTCAAAATAGCTATTTATTCAAGTTCTGATCTCAGGAGGATAGTTATTGTGATTATTATATAATCAGAAGTGATTATTGAATAACGAAATTAGTTAGTTCCCTAACTGCGTCCAGATAAAATTCTAGATGTTTGTCCAATATATGTCATGTCACGCATAACGTCACACAAAAGTGATTGTAACACAAACAAAACCACCTGTGCACTTGCAGATCATGTCATCAGCACTAAACACACAATGAACTACACCGAAGTTAAAGTTTTGTGTACTGAAAGCAATTTACAAAAACGGTTGTTTAAAGAAATGTTCTTTATCAAAAGGAATACCAATAACATGAACAAAAAGACTGAGCTCAACAACCTCAGCAATATTTATAATTACATTTCGAAATTGGAACTAATACCTCCAGGTTCCCCAAGCAACAGATAGTGTTTGGTTTTGGGCGCAGTGTTGAGTCTGTCAAAAAAAACCATTCACTTCTTTTGTGAGTGTTTGGCAGCACTGTACCCAGATTCAGATACTTTTGATTTTGTTTGTGTCAGTCATGGTGTTGGTGTGCCTTTTGGTAATCCTGTTACGCCACCGAGTAATTATCTTCCGTAATAATCGAGGTAGAATGATGAAACTCTTAGGACTGATAGAAATGCTCAAAATGCAGCTATCACATGAATATGGTTCGCCAAAGTGATATACACTGCCCGTAACTCGCGATTGAACAACCCATTTTTACGGTAAAATATGCTAGGAGGCAAAATTGGCTCAAAATTCCTTCAGATTCGTGATCAGGATTACCAGCTTACTATAAATACATTTTTTTCCCAATTAAATTTCAGTCCTGAAACATCCGAATTTGTCTCACTTTTCATGGAAACGCTTCCGTATCTTCCGTAATAATTGAGGTCGAATGATAAAACTCTCAGGACTGATGGAAATGCTGAAAATGCTCTACCACTTAAATGGGGTTGGCCAAAGTGATATACACTGCACGCCACTCGCGATGGAATAATCTATTTTTACAGTAAAACATACTAGGGGGCAAAATAGTTTACTTCCAATACCTGAACCCCTTCGTTCTATGTGGAGATTACTTTCAGGTATCAAAGATGCAGACATTTTCACGGATTCGTTTGGCTGTGAGATGCTATCATCCATTTTGAGCCTCTCTGGGGAAAATGTCACAGCACAGAGATAGTGTAGAGTAGTGTATGAAAAATTATTGATGGTGGCATCTAATATAACTGAGAAAGACCATTCGTAAAACTAATTATGGGTGCCGAACATCCAAATTCTATCCCAACCAAAAGTGAGAGCTCTCCGATTGATGAGCAAATACTGCAAAAAATGAAAAAAAATCTCTTTTCAAAGGTTCACATCTCTAAAACTGTACATTTTTGAGCTTTGGCTATGGACAATTTCAATCAGCACATCAAGAAATAGAACATATCAAAAATTCAGCAAAATTCACGGCAAGCCATTTCTCATAAGAAATGTGCGGGGTTCTTTATTAAAATATTGAGAAAACCAAATTAATCTTCATACTCATTGCAACACCGAAACAGCAGTTAATTTTTAAAGAAAAAATCGCACTCGGCAAATAGGTAGAGTTTAGATTATTTTACCTACTTGCTGAATTGTCTGAAATTATTTGAAGGGATTGAATTACATCAGTTCCACTAAATAAAAATCATGCAATGCCCTGAGATTGCCATGAAAAACAGTTGCTCGTTGACATTTACTGCCAACTTGACAATATTGTTGAAAGCTCCTGTTGTATTTTTTGTTTCTAGTATTGTTGTTCCTGTTGTGTTTTTGTTCCCATTGTGTTCATTGTTCTTGTGTTTGTGTTTGGCATTCTTCCTGTGTTCCAGTCGTTTTTTGTTCGTGAGTTCCTGTTCATATTTTAATATTTCTGAAGTTCCTATTTTAACTGATATCAGCTCATTTTGATTAACAAAGTTCAACATGGCACGTCTGTCACTTCAAGAAAAAATTGAAATTGTTTTGTTACTGAAGGCGTGAGGTCTTATCGTGAAGCGGCCACTGAATTCAGTAGAAGACAACCGCTAGAGGTAGCTGTACACCCTGGAACTGTCCATAAAATATATAATCTTCTCGTGAGCACCGACCAAGTAACAAAGGATAGAAAAATTGTACGACAACATATTGAAGATGATACCATATTGGAGGCTTATCAAGCTGATTCTAGAATTACCTAGTTTGAGAAATTTATTGCTTCAACTCAATATGAGCCGCAGTAAAATATGGAAGTGTTTAAAGAGGCATAACGTGCATGCTTTCAAACCCAAATTTCTACATATTTTGCACGAAGGAGATGAAATCCGCCGTATGGAGTATTGTTTATTGATTCAGAAAAATTATCTCAATGACAGGAATTTTTTAGAGTATATCTTATAAAGTGATAAGGCTACCTTTACCACGAATGGTGTTTTATCTTCCCAGAACATGATATTTTGGGCTGAACAAAATCCAACTTGGGTGGTGAATTGTAGAGAACAAATATCTCAGAAAATTAATTTGTGGTGTGGTATTCTGAACGAAAATATTACCGGGCCATTTTTTTCGGTCAAAATCTAAACGAATGACTATTCGTTGATTTTCTCAAAAATGCATTTTCCGATATGTTGGAAGAACTACCTTTAGATATGAGACCCAACATGAGTTTTCAGTTAGATGGTTCACCACTTCACAATAGTGGCATAACAAGGATTTGGTTGAATAGTAACCTACCTATGAAATGGATAGGACCCAAGAGCCTTCTCGTAGTGTGGCCACCACGATCCCCAGATCTAACTCCATTGGATTTTTATTTATGAAACGTTGAAAAATGAAGTTTATAAGGATAGGCCAACAAAAAGGAAAGATCTCCGTGCAAAAATTATACGAGCGTGTAGAGAAATCACACGTAGAGAACTGAGAAGAGTTGGAAGAAATAATAGAAGGCGCATAGAAAAATGTGTTCGCTTGGAGGGAAGTTTGATAGAAGGCACAAAAATATGAAATTATCAACAATTAAATCAATTTGAGATTGATTGTTTGGTTTTTCAATTGAAAACGTGATTTTGAAAGTACTACTTCGAAATAGTTTTGAACTACATAAAATTTTGGGATACAAAAAGCACTTGGTTTTTTGAAAATAATGGGAAGATGGGAATGCTAATCATTATTTTTATTTATCCTAAAACATTATTAGAATTGCTAACGTGTACTTGAAGTAGGTAATTAGAATTAGTTTTTTTTTGTTCATTTTATTTTTCGTTTATGGTTAAGTATTGTGAATGAAATTTTATATTGTCCTGTATGACCACTCCTCACACCGTGGGGTAAGTGATAATTGGGTCCGAGAATCATGTGCCGTGGGCAAGCGCAGTGAGCCAAGAATGACAGCCTTCTGCATCTGTGCGGTTAAGTTTTCTGCCTTAGTGCGGCAAGCCGGTACGATTTTAAGATTCGCGAGTAGGGAGGGCATCATTCCACCAAGTACTCCAATAATCACAACAACCATCATAACAGAGTGATCTGGATAGAGTCTGCGGAGTTCGAAGGTAAAATCTTGATATTTTATCCATTTTTCCTCCTCTTTTCTGACGATATTTGTCTCGCCTGGAGCTGAAAACTCCACGACAAATATGGTTTTGCTCTAGTGGTCGAGAAGGACTACATCAGGCTTATTAGCTTGTATGAGCCTGGGGGTGGGGAACGAATAATTCCAATAAATTCGGCACGTTTCGTTCCCCACAACGGATTCAATATCCCCGGAGCGTAGGGCAACACCGGTGTCTCGTCAATACCGTAAGAGTGCCGAAGATGGTAATATAGCGCTCTTAGGGCCGCCTTATGTCGAAAGATATAGGCCGAGACCGCATATGCTGGACATGCTGGATAGCAAGTGCATTATGGTCTCGGGCGCCTCGCGGCAGGCCCTGCACCTTGTGTGAGGAACCTCTATACCCATTTCGCGACTGCGGTAGACTAAGGTGTTGAAGACACCATGCTGGCAAGCCATGATGAACCCCTCAGTTTCCGACTTCAGCTCACTCGACCTGAGAAAAGCGAACGTCAGGCGCTTTGATAAGCCAATTGTTACCAAGTAAAAAATAAATAATTTATGAGTAAACAAAAGTCAAGTTTCTCTTAAACAATTGATTTTTCATGTAAAATTCTGATTTTCTAGGACGGGTTCGTGTTTTGATGTCAAAACCAAAAAAAAAAATCTACTTCAATAATTACGAAATATAACGGTGGTGTTTCCATGAGGAGTGAGACAAATTCTGATTTTTCGGGACTGACATTTTTTCAGGGAAAAAGTGTATTCGGTAGTCCTGATCACGAATCTGAAGAAATTTTGAGCCTATTTCGCCCCCTCAGTATGTTTTATCGTAAAAATGGGTAGTTCCATCGCGAGTGGCGGGCAGTTATGTGACTTTGGCCAAACCCAGTTAGGTGGTTGGTGCATTTTGAGCATTTCCATCAGTCTTGAGAGTTTCATCATTCTACCTCAGTTATTACGGAAGATACGGGGGTGTTTCCATGAGAAGTGAGACAAATTCGGATTTTTCAGGATTTAATTTTTATCAGGGAAAAAGTGTATTCGTAGTAAGTTGATAGTCCTGATCACAGATCTGAATTCTGAAGGAATTTTGAGCCTATTCTGCCCCCTAGTATGTTTTACCGTAAGAATGGGTTGTTCCATCGCGAGTGGCGGGCAGTGATATCACTTTGGCCAACCTCATTTAGGTGGTATGTGCATTTTGAGCATTTCCATCAGTCCTGAGAGTTTCATTATTCTTTCTCAATTATTATGGAAGATACGGGGGTGTTTCCATGAGAAATGAGACACACTGTATATTTTGACTGCTCCAAACATTCAAAACTAATGTATCAATTTATTATTTTACAGGCAAAATACTTACAGATGAGACAGTCTTATCGGAATATAACATCGACGAGAAAAAATTTATTGTGGTTATGGTCACGAAACCAAAGCAGCCAGAAAAGACGGACAGTGGTGATAGCAGCTCTGTTCATTCTGCAAGGTTAGAATGTTCAATAAATTCACATTTCTCATGGTTGATATAATTTGGTGAAATTAAAAAATCGAAACTATAAATTTTGAACACCTCAAGTTCAATAGTAAATAATATCACCTATTGTTAATTCACTGATTGTTTTAAAATTCCCATTAAAATCCAAAATCATAATTGTTGTGAAGAAAAGTTTATAAAATAATTTCACTTTATGCATACCTTTCGTCAGCTACACTCGAGTTTATCTCGAAGAATTTTCAATAGTTATAAACTATTAATTAACGCAATTACAAATTTGCGAGAAATTTCACATTACAGTTCTTGCTAATTTCAATGGAGTTTTCATGAACTCCATTTAAACTTCATCCAAGTATGAAAAGGTGTATGAAAGTCAAGACTTTCTTAAAAAATGGGATCAATGCCAATACCTTGCTAGATAAGAAGAAGAAAAAAATAGGAGAAAAAGTTCAACCAGAAAACGAGGAGAACGAAAAAAAATCACTAAGAGCAGGAGATGGAATTAATAAAGAGATATTTGCCACAATTTGCTATTTCTGAACATTTAAAGTAGGTATCTAAAAAGGCTAATGAACCGGTCTCCACAACGTCAGTTAATGATCGTTTATTCTATGGCTGATTCCAAGGCAGATTGAACAAAAAACTTTCCTGGTTTCCCAAATCGAATATGTGCCGCATGTTCTTTGAAACCAGTTCAGTTTAACATATGTTAAACTTAACAAGCAGTTTCAAAGGTTACTTTATGTTTCTTTCAAATTTGATCCATTATCCTAGTGTATTTTGGTTCATACAGAATCTTAACATTTCCGAACGTGAAATTAAGGAGTGTTTTCATAATCCTAAACAAACTATGGATCGAATTACCATGGAAGTACCAAAACATGAAGACCAGGAAAATATCGCACAACAAAACTGAAATTTTTCAGGCTAGTACTAGCACTCAGACTTTTGGTTGCTTTCATAGACTGAGAATGCAAAGGGTGGCATGAGAACTATAAACAGTTATAAAGGCCCCAATAAAAATAACCCGTCATTTGCTCTTTTATGAACGAGTGAAATTTCCCTCTGATTTGAATTATTACATATTAAAGAAACCTTATCATAGAGATACAAACAGAAAAAATCAGTTTCTTCAAAAATAAATTCAGGTATCTTTTTTTGATTGAATGTTTATTCTTTTGTTGCATATTGAGACGAAATAAATTATAATACAGTTTAATTCATCAGTGTAATATCTTATCTCCTTTTGACAAAAAAATAACAGTTTATGTAACTTTTCAGTATGCCAGCTACACACAGTCCTAGACCTACACCGGCTCCAGTCTCTGAAGATCCGGCACCTGTTGCAAATCCGCCACCTCCTGTAGTTGTTGCCGAGCTACCATCCACAATCAGTAGTGCAGCAGAATCTGCCCTCTTGATGGGAGAAGATTATGAAAATATGGTGCGAAACATCATGGATATGGGATATGTCAGAGATCAAGTAGAACAGGCACTCCGGGCGAGTTTTAACAATCCCGATAGAGCAGTCGAATATTTGATCAATGGAATACCTGTTTTAGATGAACAAGAAGCTGTATGTTGAATTTTTTTCTCTTTAGGTTATTTACATTTTAGTCTATTTAACAATCACGTCGCGTTTTAATAATTGTTAAAGAATATAAAAAAATATCACAAATAAATCAAAAGGCATTGAAATTGTTAATAAAAAGTGAAAAATATGACTGTTGAAGTAATGATGAAAGTGATCTTGGGAAATAATGTTAGTGAAGTGTGTCAAATTTTCTTTCCGGTTTAGTTAATTTGCATTTTTCATATCTGATGTTTCGTCTACAAGTGCGGTAGACATCAAAGACAGTAAGGCAACGGCTCTAGTGGTCAAGATTTGAGACGCCGATTTTAACTTATCGGTAATGGGCGTGGCTTCGTTTTTATTATTGGTTACGTTAATTGTTCTGATTCATGTACAGTTTAGTGCAGCTAGCCAGACTTCATTTACCTTAATTCCCTCTTTCAGTTGAAATCAATGGCTTGAATATCAATTTCGTTTGAAGGTTTTTTCCAGATGATCAGGCTCCTCGGGAAGGTTATCTGTTTAACTTCCAGGTCAAAACAAACGTTTTAATTATTTCTACATCTTTTTTGTTACGGTTGATGGTTGGAGTTTTCATTTGAATATCCAAACTTACTAATAAGATTTATTTTGTTGTTCACCAGCAAGTTTAATCCTCACCCCTAGCGCCTAGGAAAACTCGCTTAGCAAGTGTAGTATTCTTTCATTTCGCCAGTTTGCTAATGTGTGTTCATATGTGTATTTTGCACATAAACATGTTCTAATTGACAACCTTATGATGGTTCACTACAATTCATATTTTAACGTAGGATACATGAATAAAATACCAAAGAAAATGAAAATTATTGAGGAAAACCGCGAATTCAATGAAAAGTGGGGTTTTGATTATTTCATTATTAATAATTACAGTAAAGCACAATGCTTGATTTGCAAAGAATCCATAAGCGTATTCAAAGAATTTAATTTGCGTCGCCACTACAACGCGAAACACAATGGTGAATGAATATGATAAATATAAATCTCAATTCAGTCAAAATAAAATTGATTCTGTACAGAAATCGTTGGAAGCACATCAGAACGTTTTTAAAAAATATAAGGAACAAAACGGGTTTACATATTTCAAAATTAATTGTTGAACATAAACCATTTACGGAGGGACAGTTCAATAAAAAATGTATTTTGGCAGCTGATAACGAAGTTTGTCGGAAAAAATTTGAAGATTTTATTAGTTCGGACTTCAATTGTCTAATATGATATAAATTGATTTGAAATCCCTGAAAGAATCCGTAAAAAATTAAAAAGAGTAGCTGAAAAATATCAATTATAGTAAGCAAAGAAAATGAAATTACAATAAAATAAAATACAAGAATCCGTAAAAAATTAAAGAGAGTAGCTGAAAAATATCAATTATAGTAAGCAAAGAAAATGAAATTACAATAAAATAAAATACAAGCAACAATGTCTCTACAAAGATTTCGATTTCTTCTACAACATTTGCGATTTGACGATCTTGAAACCCGCGAAGCTAGAAGGGCTGTAGACAGATTGGCACCAACTGCAAATATACACACCAAAGTAACCAATCAGTATTCCACTATATATTCCTGACTTGTAGTGAAGGATGGCAAAAATACAACCAAATATATCCTACAAACCAGTCAGATAGTACATTTGAACAGCCAACCAAGCTCAACGAAGGTCAACACGGAAATCAAAGAGACTACCACATCTGACAGCTGTTCAATGTACACTACAAGCACCAAGGGGGCGTTGTGCACAATATCATATATCAATTCCACCACAGCCACTCGAGACATCATCAACAAGTCCATGACCCATCACAACTTCTTCTCACAGCAATGCAACCCTAAAACAACCCTTGACAATTTGAGTACCCGATCGAGTCCTCACCCGTGAACGACTAGAGAACTAGTTCGGTGTAGGTTGCCGGAATGACACCACGACAGTTCGGTATAATGGCAGTGAGGTCAGATGTCAACCAACAACTGTTTTTTAACCTGGTTAACGAATTTTTGCAAAAATATTGACTCCAACCTATTTTCAACTATTTATCGATCCTTATTAGTGCCATGGAATAAAAACATATAAGGTGAGTCGCCACATCTTTCCCATTCAGTACGAATATTTGAACTTTCATATTATGCGGAATTTTTACCGAAAATATCAATCAGTACTCAGAAACCCAGAGCTAACTAATATTGTTTTTCAGGCGATGTGGCTCTAATATGTAAGTGTCTGGAAGTGATGAATAACAATCTATGTAATAAATATTCTTGGAAAGGTACAGAGAATAAGGCAGGCAACATCTGAAAAATGAGAGGTGAAGAAAACTGAGAAACACACAATAACAACTATTTCAACCTAGCGAAAAATTTCAGATTTCCAACGTCGGTAGGCAATAGGCGAATGCGAAGTGAATGGTAAGTACTGATCACGACAGTGGTCAGGGAGCATCCATATATTTTTTTCTACATTTCAGATTTTCATTACTATGATGTTAAATGAATAAAATCAACTTGTAACTAAATTATATTGTCAACATCTTCAGAATGAAGATTTTGAAAGGTATAATAGTGTTCTGAAAGGTCATATAGGAGCAATTTTGATCTAGTGCTGAATTGAACCGTAACAGTATTTATTGCAAAAAATTAAATTCAGAAATTTGACGATCGATTGAAAATTTTCAACAACTGTGAGCAGATCAAACCAGAATTTGAATAAAAAAAATATGATCACAAACTTTCACTCAAGAAAATGAAGAGAGAAAAGGCGATGAAACAACTGATCCAATTGAAATATGTACAAAAAACAGTATGGCAGCTTACGTATGGAAACATAGATAGTAGTAATCACACAAATTGCTTTTATTGTCTTATATCAGAGCAATTCAATGACTATTTTGTAAATGGAGCCCTAGATATGTATGATAAAATAAGCTCACCCGCTAATTCATTCTCTAGCTATCCCCATCAAGTTCCATGCAATGCTGACAACTCGATGCATTTCTATCAAACTGATACTGCTGAGATGAATGAACTCAACAAATCCCTAGAAAAACTTGGGCAGGCTTGATGTTCACGATCACAATTTGTGATATATAATGAAGATCTCAATAGCTTACTAACGAACTTGAATGGTGTTCCACAAGGTAGTGTGCTTGGACCACTACTCATCTTGATGACCTGCCAAATTCAATGACAATGTTTACAATGTTATTTGCCGATGACACTTCCTTCGTCATTCGGAAAAAATATTGAAGAGTTATCAGAGTTAGAAAAGCGGGTTATTCAGGAAGCTACGGATTGATTCAATGCAAAAAGCCTATCAATAAAAGAAAGACTCAAATTGTTAAGTTTTCGCTTCCTCATAATCCCTCGGATTTGGTATAACCATTGATTCAAAGTTAACTTGGGAACCCCATTTCGACAAACTAGCAAAACATCTATCATGCAAGGTCTATATAATTAGGCAGATGGAAAATGAAGCTACTCATATCGCTTATCATGCAATGTTTTATGATTCTTCAACTCATGGATTGATAAACGGGGGCACCTCTCTTCATATCTTAAGAATATTATTCACAGTTCGGAAACGAGCAATCGGAGCTTCAGCTGGAATATTTCAAATGGAGAGCTGTAAGAATTGATTTATGAAGTTCAATAGATTAACTCTGCCATCATGCGTAATATACTGCAATTCGATACACGTTCACGAAAATTTACAAAGTTTACTACAAATACAAATGGAAACAACCATTCGTGTAATACTAGGAATAAGGATAACATTAAAGCACCAAACCAAAGACTAGAAATAACAAGGATATGTAACTCATATATATCATTGTACAACTCACTGCACCGATCAATGACAAATGCAACCCTCGCTAATTTCAGAAGGACACTAAAAAATATATCTTGGTGAATTCTTAGTATGATGCATCTGACTTCAGCTTTATTCAGTGACTATCATCAATGTAGGTACTGTATCTATGCATCACTGTTTTTTCATTTATATCTATTGAAAATACTTCACTTCACACACTTATTTACTTCATTTTGTGCTCGTATTATATAAAATTTATATGAACTACCTACTGCTTTTTGGTAATTTGAATTTACATTTATATTATATATTATTGACTTGTCGAAGCACTAAGGTGTAATAATTCCACCAATAAAAAGTCTTATCTAACCTAATCTGACCTAATCTAATTTCAAAATTTTCACTAGTTCGGACTTCCATTGTCTAATATATACTAGTCATCACTCGAAGATGATTGTGGATACTAACAATCGAAACGTCGTGAACTAACTTGGCATGAAATCTCCCAACTTTTTTATTTTTATCTTTATTTTCATTTTGTATTTCTTCATTTTCATTTTTATTTTTTGTTCAATTATTTTATTTTTAGTTTTACTTGTATTTTATTCCACTATTATTTCATTTCAGGTTTTTTTGCTCAATATGATTGTTATTTACAGCTAGTGAAATTCATCATGAAACATTGTCAATCACCTTCAAACAACAAACAAACGTTCAAAATTCTCAATACAAGATCTTAAAAACACAAAATTTACCTATAGCTGCAACATTACACACTTTGTATAATATACTGCTGAAACCTAAACATTTACTAACTTTTGCATGGTGTTTACAAAATGTTCCAGACTCAAAGTTGTTGGCTTGAACTCGTACGTAATTTCATGGTAATTTACATACTTCGAGAAAAATTTCAATTTATACGAAGTACAAAGTACTTTAAATTCTGAAACTCCATTTGGTTCATTAGCGACAATAACATCAAGTCGTTTCGAATGGAAATGAGGCATTATGTGGTGGTAAATACGAAAACGATGAATAATTACCCTACATTTCATGCGGGGAACTCGCATTATGTATATTGTTAAAGTTATGTCGAATCAATGAATTGATTACTTTCGAACACGTTCGTCTGTCAATCTTCCGAACTGAATCCATTGGATTTGCTTCAAAAGTTCTACTCGAATCAAACAAGTTGTTTCATTTAGCCAGAGGTGCCATGGAGTGGAATATTTTTTAATTATATCGTTACCAATAAGGGTCGCCTGTTAACGTATTTTCTTTCATAATCTTCAAATCGATGTCGTACAA